GTAATAAATAATTACTCATCATATTGTGTGAACTAACGTGATTGAGTGTGATGGACTGTACCAAACAAATAAATTGATCAAAAAAAAAAAAAAAAGGCAAAAAAATCTTTAATTTGTAATAAATAACGCCAGGGAGACATGGACCATTGTGACTGTGGTATCTACCAACCTTTCGTTGTGTCTATATAACATTTATTTGGCATTAATGACTTATTTATTTTATTTTATTTTTACATGCCAGATAATAGATACTACAATAATCCACACGTACTCAGCGTTGTTTCTTGTTTTAAGGTGTTATTATATTGCATATCTTGAGACATTATTTTTCAAGTAATTTTAAAATGTATTTTTTATATTAAATTAATGTATTTAAAAAAATTAATTTTTTTAAGTGTTCACTTCAACATTAGGTACCAATTAAGTTACTAATTGTTCCTAGTCCAAGAAATTAAAACCAATCTATTCATATATTAATGTTAAAAATTAAATGCAAGTAGTCAATTAATATATATATAAGTTGATTTTCACAAAGAAAATAGTATTTATCCACTTTAATTTTTAAAGATTAAGAGAAATATTATTCTAAAATTATATTATTTTAATAAATATTTATTAAAAAAAATTAAAATACTTTATTTTTAAAGCATGAATTAAGGTGTTTTTTATTTTTTTTTCTCTTATTTTTTAAAGATTAAGAGAAATATTATTCTAAAATTATATTATTTTAATAATAAGCACTCATTGAAAAAAATTAAAATATTTTATTTTTAAAGCATGAATTAAGGTATTTTTTATTTTTTTTCTCTTATTTTTTTAAAAATAAGCCAAATAAACACTAACTCCTTTCATAAAAATCAATAGTTAATTAGTTCATGGACATAAAAGTAATAATAATAATAATAATAATAATAATAATAATAATTCGTACATGATATTTATAACCAAACGCCAAGTAGACGTGGACCATTGTGATATATTGTAGTATCTAGTGCCATTATCATGTCTATATCACATTTACTTAGTGTTAGTGACTTGTTTATTTTATTTTATCATGTTTATATCATTTATATTTTCTTGCTGTTAGTGACTTGTTTATTGTATTTTATTTTTGCATGCTGGATGGTAGATACCACTATGGTCCACATCTACATGGCCTTATTTTTTGTTTTAAGGTGTTATTATATTTTATATCTTGAAACATTATTATTTTTTTGAATGATTTAAAAAATGTATCTCTCATATTAATTTAATATATTTTAAAAAAATTAATTTGTTTAAGTGTTCAAAATTAGTTACTAATTAAGTTACTAACATTCCTAGTCCAAGAAATTAAAATTAACCAATCTATTCATATATTAATGTTAAAAATTAAATGCAAGCAGGAAATTAAAAATATATATACATATATAAAAGCTGGGTTTTCACAAAAATCAATAGTAAATTAGTTCATTAACATAAAAAACAGTTAATTAGTTCATCGAAACTGATATTTTTTACGTTAATTATTGGTGTCAATTAAATAATGGATTTTTTTAATTTTTTTATGTAAAAGTTAGTGTAATTATTGTACCTATTTTATATTAATTAGTTATTTAAAAATAAAAATTCACCTTTATTTATATAATTGTTTAATTAAAATTATACATGTAATATTAGTAATAAAATTAAATATAAATTTTACATTTTTTAATATCAGTTAATATAAAAATTGTGTAATAATTATACCTTAAACTTAAGACACGAGTTAATATTACAATTTTATGCATTTTACAAATATAATGAGTTGAATATTAAATTTAGTAAGTTAATAAATATACAGGATTGCAAATAGAGTTTTCCATAAATATATTATTGTTGGTTTTTTGTTTTTGTTACTAAAAATTGAATGATTAAAATTTACAATTAAAAACTAAAATGATTATAAAATTTTAAAATTATAATCAAAAAATAATTTTTTAAAGTTATTTTTTGAATTTTAATTTAGTAATTAATTTGCAAATTTTGACAACAAAAACTATTATCTCTTTTTTAATATATATAAAATTATTTGATCAAATTTTACTCAAAAGTAAAACTGACACAATAAATCAGCCTGGATGGAGTATTAAATTCCATGGAACCAAACAAGTATACAAGAAAGGTTTATGGGAGTTCATGGAAATATGTCCGAATAAAGGGGTCTGTTTCGTTCAATTTATTTCTTGTTTTCCTTTATTGTAAAGAAAAAAAGTGAAAGGGATTGAAGGAGAATTTCAATTTAGTAAGAGGGTATGAACCTGAAAAAGAAGTACTAATACCAGATGAGATAGTAATTCCTGACTTTCAGCTAGCAATTAGGAGGGAAGCAACGGAAAGGGTAGAAAGAAAACAAACTGAAAACTCAGTGAAGAAGGAACGATGAAGCAAATCTCCGGAAGTTTCAGGAAAGTTTTCGGATCAAAATCAAAATCTGGAAAGTCTGAAACTGTTTTTAAAGTGGAAGAAATGGGTACTCTCAAAATTCCAGATGTCGTTCCTTCTCCGGAGCAAGATTCTGAGAGCCTGAATAAAGCTTTTCAAGGTCTGCAAACTTCTCTCATCTTCTGATGTTCAATTTCTACTTCTTAAGACATACCCATTTTGATATAATGTTTTCTCTTGCCTTTAATTTCCCCTATTTTAATTTTGTTTCTAAAAGCTTATGTCTTTATTTCTGGGTTAATGCTCCCTTTGGTTTTTATTTTGGGGAGAACTGAATGAGATAACAGAGAATCTAACACAATATTTAGGACTTGATTAAGATTTTCCTGCTGCTGCTGCTTTTTGTGCCTATGTTTTAGGAATATGAATTATGATCTAAGAATTGTTGTTTTGGATGTGCTGGGGAAAATGTCAACAGGGTTGGGAACTGATGAGGAGGGAATAATATGGGTGTTAGGACACAGAAATGCTGAGCAGAGGAGGAAAATTAGAGACACTTATCAGGGGCTTTACAGTAAACCTCTCATTGATGCTCTCCATTCCGAACTCTCCGGTGATTTCAGAGTAGGATTTTTATCATCAACTTAAACAGATTTTACACAATTTATTCCATGATTTGTCATTTATATAAGGCAATTGAAGTTTTTTTATGTTTAACAGAAAGCAGTGATTTTATGGACATCTGATCCTGCTAAGAGGGATGCCAGACTAGCAAATGAAGCATTGAAGACGAAGAGAAAGGGCATTAAACAACTACAAGTGATTGTTGAGATAGCGTGTGCATTTTCTTCTCAGCATCTTGTGGCTGTCAGGCAGGCTTACTGTTCTGAATTTCATTGTTCGCTTGAAGAAGATATTGGAGACAACGTAACTTTGCCCCTTAGAAAGGTAAAGAACACTT